TTGAACTTGTCGAGTTCTGATTTCGAGGTCCAGTTTCACATCTAACTTACTGAGTCCTCTTCTAGACTCAACCAGTTCGATCAAAACAGAAAAGGGTTGGGGAACCATACCACGACTCGTCGAGTCCCATGAACGACTCGCCGAGTCCACTAATGTCCATGTCCATACATTTGATTTCAGTCGGGTTTAACACATCCAAAACATAGATCTAGCCTCCTAGGGTCCATAATACACATAAAGTTACAAACTTTACATCCATACACGGGGTTTTTGGCTCAAAAGGCTCTAAAATGGGATTTATATGATGCATGGGACTCCCATGGCCATAAAGTTGGCACCTTTATGCCATGGGAACCCCTAATGGTTCCAGATCTGAAGTAATACCCCTCTATAACCACAAAATCCCGAGAATGGCACTTCTAAGGCTTAGAAAAGGTAGAAATGAACCCTAACTAGAGATCTAAGAGATAGATGGTCAAGGTTTCAGCTTTATACCTCAAGTAAGTTGTAAATGTGCCAAAACCTCTGGATCTTCTTTCCTCCTCTTGATCTCAAGCTTCCTTCTTCTTCTCTAGCTTCAAATACACACAAAAGGCACCAAGAATCTCAAGGACACTCAATAATTTATTAGGGTTTCGAGTTAGGGCTATTCTGGGCTGGGAGGGACGATGGAGGCTGGGGTGGGACAAGTTAAGGCGTTTAAATAGGGTGCAAACCCTAAATATTAGGGTTTCATCAAGATAGTCCTACTCGCCGAGTCGGGCTCCCGACTCGTCAAGTAGGTTACTTAGAACCCGCGTCCAAAGTCTTGTCTACTCGACGAGTTGGGCCTCTAACTCGCCGAGTCCCAGTGTAAAACATACAATCTTTAAATTTAAAATACGTACCGGGAACCGAGCGTTACATAGAGACTGTGAAATGCCAGACTGTATTGTTATATGAGGGTCATGGCGTGGTCATGGATGGCCACGACATGGCGGTTGACTAAAGTCAATATTGACCATTGACTTTGACCGTTGACTTTTGACTTGAGTTGGCTTTTGGTCAAACTCCTAGTTTTGGAAGAAGAGCTAAGGGCTTACCTTGTATAACGATATATATGGTGCATAACATCGATAGTTCTAGCAGTGAGAGCAGTATCAACTAACTATCAACTCAGAGGTGAGTCTCCTCACTGTACTTGTGGGTCGAAGGCACAAATGTCGGGCCACTGGATTATGTTATGTAGGAAGACTAGGTGGTGGTCCCTGGCAATTGTAGGAAAGTCCTGTATGTGGCTCTCGACACTTTGTATGAAAGACCAGGGTCTGCACCCTGCAGCTATATGTAGGATGCTAGTTGTGTTTGTGAAAGTTGCATGGAAGACCAGGAGGTGACTCTTGGCAATTGTTTGTAAGACCTGAGTTTGGGCCCACCACTTGGCAGTGAAAGACCATGATAGGACTCATGGTATGATAGTAATTGTAAGATTATGGTTGACACATAGCATTCTTTATTCCACGTATTGTATGTTGTATTTTAGGGAACTCACTAAGCTTTGTTCTTATGATTTTATGTTTATGGTTTCAGGTCTTTCTGGTTTCAAAGGGAAGGGCCCGACATGACTTCACAGCATCCCACAGAGTTTTCCGAATTTTCTATTTATGATTTTTACTCTATTGTTTAAATGATGTACTCACTTTGATTGGTTTTGGATCAACTCATTGTATGCGTTTATTGTTTAAAAATGAAAATTTTACTATGAATTTTCGGGACATTAGAATAATCAAACACTGGTATTTCAATTTTTAGAGACTAATTAATATTTGTATTATTTGATATATTGATTAAATCTTTGATGACATCAATAAGTAATTTGTTATGGAGGGTATTTCTAATTTCTTGTCCCATCATGTCAAGATCAACATCAAAGATCAAACTTCATCTGTCAATTTACTAGATTTTTCCGCTTGTTCTTTCTTTCATTGTGGTTGGCTTGCATTCCGTGTGAATATTTAATATTCTTCTCAATCAATTACCAGTCAACACCATGGGCATTGTTTTCAAGTAACTTCAAGATCAAGATCAATGTTGATGTGCAGATTCCTATTTCATTCATTTTTGGACAAAGTGATTATTCACTATCTTTCGAGCTCAGTGATCATGCAAGTGAAGAAAGACAATTATAGGAATATCTTGATTATCCTAAAACTAAGAATACTTCATTCATTCAAAGGCTCATCTAGTTACACTTTATGTGTTAGGATCATTCTTGTTTTTTTCTTCTTCTTCTATTAGTCATGCATGATGCCATTTCATCACCTTTCACGGAAATAATCATTAGGCGCATTTACATAATGCGCAATTAACATCGGTCTAGTAGTACAAACAATAAGAGTTTCTTCAATAATGCACAAGTAATAGAATCAATTGAGCAATGAGCACCATAGGTTTCCATGATGTTTACAAGTCTCCAACTAGGTGAGGCCCTTATACTTCTCTAGCACATGTATGCATGTATATTTTTGTTGGAATCTTTAGTCCTTTTAAGAGCTCATTTGAAAAAGTTAAAATCAAAATATATATCCTTGAACTTTTATCAAAATTTAGTAGAACCTACAAATAAGATTTGTTAAAAGAGCTTTTCTGTAGTGGAGATACATTGAGGTTTTTATTTTGTTGAGTTGACGACGCTTATGTAACAAAAAAAAAAACTTAATGAAAAAAACTTTTGGGTGCTCTTAGGATATATCTTTTGTGTGCATAAATTGTCAATTAATGTGTCCTCGTAATGATTTGTATGTATAATGATTTATATATTTATACATATACCTATAAATCTCCTTAAGAACAAAATCGTATATTCAAAACACATGATTTAAATATTCAAACTATTGCAAAGAGGTATATATCAAGGTTCTGAATCATCATCAAGTGATGATTATCTCACATGATCATGTTGCTTAAGTGTAGATGATGTTGATTAAAGATTTGAATCATTAAATGAAAATGGAGTGAAATATCTACTAATTAATGGGCTCTTATTCAGCATGAGGAGCTACTACAAGTTTGTCGTCCACTGAGTGAGGTTGTCAGGCGCATGCAAAAGGACTATGTGAATCTTGAAAAATACCTACTAGGAATCTTCATTGTCTACCATGGAAGATATTTTAGGGCATATTTGGGCCCAAGATTCCTGTACACCATCTTCTTTATAGGGGAGGTGGGTTGTAAGGATAGATAAACTTGACAAGGACCATGTTACAGTTGACTTGGGGAATGTTCGGTTAATTAGGTACCCCACGATACAGGTCCCATGTGCTGATATATAGTGCCAGCTTTGATGCAAGTGTTGATGGACGCTTTGTCATTCCATGAACGTACAATGTAAATGGGGTAATTAACCAATATAAAGAGAAAAAATGTGTCATGATCACAAGTGGTAAATGGTGTCGCATAGATTGATATTTCTAGTTCTTCTCTAGTTCATCTTTACATTTCGAATATTTGTTTTGTTGTTATTTTGATGTTGACGTTGATGATGCACTTGTGTCCCTATATATGTAACTAATAAATGTGTAAAGATTTTGGCCTCCATATGATCCATCTTTAGCGGCAATATATATCTGTCAGTTGAGATAAAAATATATCATGAATTGATTAATAAGCATCTTCATTCTTAGTTGGCAACTATATAGCTATATTTTAGATATGAAAGAAAAAGTTATGCAAATTGCTTGAAATGTTAGCATCATACGAGTTTCACTGATGATCATATGATATTGGCCTTGATGTTTCACATATATGGGGATTCTTTAATTAGTTTTCACTGGCTTGCATTAACTGAGTTTGTGTTTGTCAAATATTAGACAAAGTAAGTTTGAAATAGAAAAAGAATGAAATGAAAGCATTCAAGCAACTAACTGTAGTGGTATATCCAACAGTTGTAGTCTGTCCTTTAATGGGGTAACAAAGATTCATGATGTGTGACAATTGACATTGCATGAGTGATGATGGTAGAGGTGTGTGATTATTGCACATATTCATGAAGAAGAAAAAGAACGCTTTAAGTAATGGGTTAGTTATGGCATGAGTGTACTCCTTGATGGAATTGGAAGATAGGCTTGAATATTATTGAAATGAAAGTGATTGAAACCCATATATATTATATGTACGCTTGTTAAGATGGTCAATTTTGTAGGTTATCTTGATAATGTTATAAGATATTATCAAAATTTAGCTTTTTGTTGGTCAAAAAGCTACATACTGAATTGGCATTAAAATGATGATTCATGATTGTAACTAGGTTCATTGTTACCGACTTACGGGCTAGTTTATGTGGTGAAATAAGGTAGAGGATAAGTGAAGAAACGACGGGTGAGACGGGTTGTGTAATGAGTTAAATAATGGACAAGTTGAGATCATGTTTACCCATAAAAGATATTGTCTATTTATTTTAAATTAAAATATTAAACTTGATTCACAAAAAAATATAAATAAATAAAATAAAAATAAAAAAAAATAATATATATATATATATATATATATATATATATATATATATATATATATATATATATATATATATATATATATATATATATATATATATATATATATAACCACGATAGCAATAGTGATAATCAAATTAGAAGAAATAGTCTAAATTACACAAAAAAATAATAGTCAAATGAGCGCTTTTAATACAATCAATCAAATTCATCTTGAAGCATTACTCTATTATCTAACCAAGAAATATGATTTTTCACGTCATACATTGCAGCGGCACCAATCCGTTTTGTAATTTGATTTTTGACCAACATATTAATAGAAGTTAGGTACCGTTACATTTGTTGGTAGATAAAATATATATGATCAAATTCATATGTAGAAAACGTACATAAAAATAAGCATGAAAACGTAATTGTCGGTGGAAGGGGTAAACAATCGTAGATTTTGCCATATCGATCCAGTTTGTAACAAGAAGTACCTTCGAACTCGCCTTTAGCTTCCCAGGGACACTAGGGGTTCCTTTGAGGTACCATCCGATCTAAATTAGGTTCTTCGATGCATGCCAAACCTTGAAAATCTCCAACGATATGTCTTTGAATAGGATACGACCTTGAAACGGTAATGCTCGGAAGATGAGCTGTATAGCTTTCGATTCCAGTGAACTTGTTCAGAGGATCAACGAAGGTGATATCGTCCCTGTAAAATTCCAAAATTGACAACCATTCGAGTAAAAGTATGTTCAAAAAAGATTGAAGTCTGCAATGGAATTAGTAAATTGTACTTGTAGATTTCGTAATTGAGATCTGTAGAGAAGAGGAGAAGCAAGTCATGGATGAGAGTTCGAACCACTGAGCAAGATTAACGTAGAAATCCTAGCGAGGATCACTATGTGGAAAAACCTTAACACGAACCGACGACGATTCGACGGAGGATTGTAGACCGACACTGTTATGATTGTGGTGAGTTGCGGAACGCAATGAAGATAAAGAAGAGTGAAAGTTGGAGGAGATATGTTAAATGTGACTTAAGCATTTGGACCATTTAGAGCATTCTCATGGAGAATTCGGTTTCAATGGAGAATTTTGAATTCAATGGAGCACCTAAGAAGAGAATGAAGCATCTGAGAAGGAAATTGCACATTTAATAAAGGAATGGAGCATCTAACAAAGCAATAGAGCACCTAAGAAGGGACTGGGACATCAGAGAGGTGACATGTTGATGGATGTGCCACTTGGAAACAAGGTGTGCCACTTTGGAAGCTAGATGTGCCATCTTGAAAGAGAATGCACCATCTCGAAGGAGGATACACCATTTTAAAGTAGGTGCACCGCATTAAGAAGTAGATGTGTCATTTAGGAAGTAGAGGTGCGACCTTGAGAAGAAGATGTGCCACTCTTCTACAAGATGCGCCATCTTCTAGCATGATGCTCCATCTTGGTGCAAGGGTGCGCCACACATGTCCCTGATGTGTCATATATGCTGGAAGGTACACTATGATGCTCAAGATGTTGGGATTTTATTCAAAATTAGTTACAAAAACTCAAGATTTTAGCAAATGAAAGACTTAAAATTTGAACAACATAACTACTTTATTCCCATAAAGGATCATTTTCCAAGAGTTGGAAAGAAAACAACAACCATAGAAGGACTAAAATATTAACAACCTTTGAAGTCCTTTGAGTCCTCAAGGGGAGGCTTAATAGTTAATAGGGAAGGAAAAGATCCAAGCCATCATCTCTCTATATGTATGCACACAACAAGTCACCAATGCCACCCATGAATGCTAGTCCTTCACTTGTATGGAATTGAACTCTAGTATGTAAGTCTTATGTCAAATAAGTCTTCAAAGGAGAACAAAACCAAGCACCAAAAACTAGCAATTAACTTTTCAAGAGAGAGGAGGAAAATGGATGATATATTCTCAGATTTTCAACAAAAAAAGAGAAGAAAAGGTCACTAGCTTTATCTCTTTCTCTTTCTCTCTCTCTCTCTCTCTGTATATATATATATATATATATATATATATATATATATATATATATATATATATAATTCATGAAAAAATTTAAAGTTTTTAAAATTTTAAACTTTCAACACACATAAAATTCATGAAAAATTTAAACTTTTTAAACAAACCCAAGTCATCATAGTTTATAAATTGTTTTCAAAATAAGTTTCACTTCACATAAATCCCAAAATCCTAAAACAAAACATCAGGAGGTGCACGATCACGCCTTCACCTTGCCGCAATCCTCTGAGGTACCTGAAACACAATCCAAAACTGTAAGCCCAAAGCTTAGTGAGTTCCCCCAAAAAACCACCACAACACATAATCATAACTATCACACAACATCACGCATACAAAACCTTTAGCATGACTGGACCGTTGCACCGGGCCTTCAGCTTGTCTGGTCCGTTCTTCGGGCCTTCGGCCTGACTGGTCCGCCTCATAGGCCTCAGTCTATCCATGCCGCTCTGGGTATGTTGGCCTTCAGCACAAAGCAGGACCGTCTCAACCCAATCACACATATGTCGACATATACGTAACTCATAAGCATACAATCAATCAATAAACAAGTACATATATTACAGATCAATAAGCATAGCATTATCCTATCTACCAGGATACATATCTAACAAATCACTATAATACTCAACCATGCAATAATCAGGATTCACATTCCAAAAGGGCCGACCATGGTGCCTTCGACCCAACAAGTATAGTGAGGGATACTCACCTCACAAGTAGTGTTGAACTGATAATGTCTGACACCAAATCTCAGCTCTCGACTCGAATGCCTACAACCACCATGTGACCAATTCCATCAAAATCCTGAAATACCCAAATTGCCCTCAAAGTCAAACTTGGTCAACCATGGTCAAAATCAGAGTCAACGGTCAAGGTCAACAGTCCATATTAACCCAACTCGTCGAGTGCACCAATGGACTCGTCGAGTTCCTATAGTACTCAGAAGGTCGGGAAATCCCTAACGAACTTGCCGAGTTCGCTGGAAAACTCGCCGAGTTTTCCCCAACTTAACACATTCAGTTGATTCTTCGATTCCAGTGACTATAAGGCTCAGATCTAAACTCAAATGTTGTCTAAAAGGATAAAGTTTCCGACTTTATCCTTTAGGGCTACTCCAAGTGTTCAAAAACCCCTTCACAAGGATTGAAAACTCAAGGGATTAACCATTAAGCACAAAAACCCTTGAGATCTGAAACCCCACTTCTCTAGAAGAGATTCTAGCCTCGAAAATGACCCAAAGGTGGGTGCTTTATAGACATGCATGTACAATGCATGTCTTGAACCCAAAATGGGTCAAAAAGGGAAAATTTGACCTAAACTCCATGCATGGCATCAAGGCTTGACTAAAGACCAGATCCAACCCACTATAAGGTCACCTTGACCTGGATATTCATAAAGTTGCAACCGTTATGAAGTCCATCCAATGCAACATCCACGAATGAGGAGAAAAGGGGATAAAACTCAAGATCTAGCTACATAGATAGATAAAAATCAAGTGTTGGACACTTACAAAGGTCAAGAAGAGAATCAAACTGAAGATGAGAGCTTTGCTTGCTAGATCCTTGCCTCCTTTTTCTTACTTCTTCTCCTTTTGCTCCAAAACTACCACACTAGATCACAAAATGAGAGGGAAGGGTGATTAGGGTTCACAAGGGGCCGATATGGGGGTTTGGAGGATGATAAAAGATTAGCCTTAAGGACTTTAGGAGGTTATATAGGGTGCAAAACCCTAAACTTTAGGGTTTTCCACCCAGCCTTCACCTTGTCGAGTTATTCACACTAACTCGTCGAGTTGGTCCAAAAGAATGTGCGACCCAAAAGCCCTCCAACACGCCGAGTTGAGGCTATCAACTCGCCGAGTTCCAAAGGAAAACTTGCTTTTAAGGATAAATCTCATACCTGGAAATCGGAATGTTACACATACTTACACACAGATGTGCAACCCATACCTTCATTAAATGAATAACAGACTTGCAAGCAACCTCCATATCGTCCATGATGTGTATGGATTTAGGCAAGAGGAAAGAGAGAAAGTGGATGCCACATCATCTCCTATATAACTTGTACACAACTTATATTAATGGTCTACCATAGGTCCAATATAATGTGCATAACATTTTAATCATACAATATGATTCAAATGTAACTAGTTATACTCTTTATAATGATTATTTTCATCAAAAAATTATTCCTCAATTAAATACAAGTGATGATTTAATTTATTAATAATCATATTATTTAATAAATAACCAATTAGTTTTTAATTGTTATATTGTGTGACCTTATAGGATCATATGTTATGCAAATATCATTTCATAATGATCATTGAGCATAAAAGATCTTTCATAATATTGTCCATGGATGCTCGGAAGTTGAATATGCTCAAGGTAGATGCCTAAATGGCATGATGTGCCACTTTGGTGGAGAGTGCACCATCATGATGGAGGATGCTTCATTATGATGAGCCATGATCATTACTGATGAGCCATATTGGCACAGGATGTTCCATCATATGTGTTGTTGACGCTTATGCAATGTATCTCAAGAATGATGGTTCTAGAAGCGGTTGCATGGAGGTGTGTAATTGGTTGACACCTTTTCATGGGATTACATATTATTGAGCTTGGCCCATTAGAGTTTTGGGTATGGTAGGGACCCTGGTCTATAAATAGGGATGTCTGCTAGTTATTTATTGTGACATCCCAATTTTCTCGGTCCGAAAAGACCTTTTCTTTATGCTTATTTTTAAATAGAGTATTCTTTATATTGCAAAATTTGTCCCATAAAAGTATTTCCGAAGAAATATATTTCATTGATTATTGAAAACTTGGGATGTCATAAATGATATAAGAAATATAAGCATAAATATAGTCGTTACAGGCCTTACAATATCTTATTATACTAATGACCTACATCTCCTCGAATCTCTCATCAGGTTCAAACATTATCATCCATGTATCTTTTTATTGTTACATGTGATACATAGAAACTGAGTAGGCCATGCTAGGGAGCCTGGTCAGTACATTGGGTTTTCAAACCATAATAATAAAATTAACTTGTTTAATTATCTATTTCACATCAAACATCTAACCCGATTACTCATCCCCGTTTTCTTCAATGTTCATCTCTAAGGAATTATCCTAAGAATCATCGCGCAACATCGAGTAGACAATACTCCTTCGGGGATTCCTTCGCAATACATGTTAGTAAGGAATAGATTACATCGTATGAACACATAATTCATCACCTATAGGTTCTAGACCTGCCTACGTTCCACTGGAGTGTATAGAATAGTCTATGGTCCTCATCTCTACTCTATTAGATAACTACATCGTTGCTACAATATTACAATTAAAGTTGTGGACTATTATCATCATTTTTATCTCTATCACCCATCACCCTCATCATCTATCATCTCTTGTCACCCATCACCCTCATTATATGTCATCTCTCATCACTATAAATTTCATGGCATCTTATTATCATTTTCATCTCTCATCACCCTTCACCATCATCATCTATCATCTCTAATCACTATAAAAGTCATGGCATCTTATCATCATTTTCATCTCTCATCACCCTTCACCCTCATCATCTATCATCTCTCATCACTATAAAATTCATGGCTTCTTATCATTATTTTCATCTCTCATCAACCTTCACTAGCCAATGTATTTTACGTATGAAAATACACATACAGTTAAATTTATATAAAACCAATCTTATATTATTTCATCTAACATAGAACATCTTAAGCAAAGAACATAAGCACATATAGCATTTAATTATTTAAATACTTCATATCTATGTGTAAGATGAAAATAACTATGCATCCACTTGTTAAAAGTGGATGGCTTGTGATTTGACCTCGGTACGAATATCACTAAGTCTTAGTCTTATATTCTTATGCATAATGATATTATAGATTCGTCAGTAATCGTAATGTCTACTGATCTATAGCTGATAAGGAACAACCATGTTGGATCATATCAGAGGTAGGGTCTGTTTGATATACAGAGTATACTCTTTGGAAATCCCACTTTAAAAACCTCACAAAATCTAGCGAAGACATCATTCCCGTAAGTAGATCAATCACTGTTTTGACTTGGAATTACTGATAAATCTTATTTATAGATTCATAATAACGACTATGAATATAAATATAAGTTACACTTGAAGCATAGTAAGTGCACCTTAACTTACAAGAATTTTTGCGAAAACCGGGAAATTGTGCGGGCAAAACTCTTACTGTAGATACCCAGAGTTCAATGAAACTTCTACTTGTTGAGCCTAGATACCCAGAGTTTAGCTAAACTAATATACTCTGAGATTTCGAAGGAAGACCTCAAAATCTAGCTTAAGAAGTTGAGGGAGAGTTCAATGAATGTGTAAAGGAAGAATGGTGCTGAAAGGGATTTTATAGGCTGAAAATTGGAGGTGTGAACTGCGCCTTGACGTGGTCAGCACTACTTCCTCCCAGAATGTGATACGTGTCAAAAATTATGTGGGCCACGTCTGCACCTTCTAGAAGTGTGCGCCACGCCTCTCGCGCACGCGTGCGAAATTCCAAATTTTCAAAAATTCATATCTTTATCATACGAGCTCTGTTTTCGACGTTCTTTATATCCACGTGTAGCTATCGACGAGCACTGCAAATTTCATTTAGACTTCGTCGAATAATTATTAATTTATTTTTAAATTTATATTTTTATCAAGCTTAGATTGTTAAAGTACGTATAAAAATCATAACTCTCTCATACGACCTCCGTTCTCGACTATCTTTATATTGACGAACTCCTAATCAAGAGATATTTAACTCTCGTTTAGATTGTTTTCCGTAACAATCGACCTATTTCAAATTCGGTTTTTGTGTCGCACACTACTACACTGAAACTTCGAAAAAATCGTAACTTCCTTATATGAGGTTAAATTTGGACATTCTCTATATGCACGAGTTCACTTTTACGATTACTACGACTTTTGTTTAGATTACTTAGGATAATAAGGAACCTATCTTCGATTCAATTTTAATGACACACATATCCATGCCAGTTTAATCGTGAAACTTCGAAGAAGAATAACTTCTTTGTACAAAATCAGATGTAAGTGCTCCTTATATCCTAGAGATAGTGATTACGACTGCTACATATCTAGCTAAGATTATCTATTATATCTTAAATGTCTACCCCGAATCTGTAGGAATTATAGTTATCTCCCCCTTAGGATGATTTCGTCCTGAAATCATCCGCAAAACAGGGATGGATAATGATCCTGTGAGTGACTTTTCCATCCTAAGCAATAATCATAATTCTTATGTCTTTCCTAATGAGTATCAATCTCTTGGACTTCTTAGCAGCTGGCGGTGCTCAAACTGTATATGATCTTTATTCTCTGTTGGACCTTTAGTCCCGACCTTCGATTTACAAACTCGATCTTCATCTGAGACTCTTGATCCCTCTTAAATTGAACCAATCCATGATAAGGTCTTTACTTCGGCTATTGTAACAGACCAAATGGTCACACTCTAATGACCTTATATCACATGATGCAATGGTTAGACTTAAGTCTTTATGAGTCGAACACCTAATAATGAAGACACCTTCCTTCATGCTCCAACAAGGTACAACCACATCAAAGTAGGTTGCCTTTGTAGCTATTGATTGCTTAATCTTAATGACAGCAGCGATACTTTTGTTGATCGCTTCAACTATCTCGTCCTTAAATCTCTTGACTAAAATCGGATAATACATCGAACATGGTTCTCTGAACCAAGTAACTTACTTCGTAGATTTATCTTATTCGAACTCGATTTTCTATGACCACTATGTTCGAAATAACATTCATTTCTTAGTCATCACTGAAAATCGTAGGTAACGACAAATACATATAAAACAAACTCAACTACTAATGCCTCATTAACCTTGTTGTTGGATTAAGGTGTCTAAGCTCATAACTAAGTTGTTATAAACTTGCAAATAGAAGCAAAGTTTGTTTTGGGTTTCCTTCATAACCATAAATAGCTAGAAATGATATTAAGAGAGAGCAGTGTTGCAGAAATCAACATTAGCGGCCGGTGATTAATCGCTTGGCGGCCTTGAGCCGATTACAATTAAGGCTAGGCAAGCAATTTAATCGGTCTTGGTCATTATCGGTCAACACCAGTTTTTGGTACGCTAATCGACCTAATTGGTCAACTGAAGTCAACAATTTAAAAAAAAGGTCATGTTCCGGTCAAAGTTAGAAAAAAAGGCTCCAAAAAGAAACTTTTGTTTCTTTTTTCTCCAGTGAACCCTAAAGTTCCATTTTGTCAATTTCTTTCCTCCGTTTTTTCTCTCTACGCAACTTTGACAGTGATCTCCTTGTTGTTTTTGCTTCACATTTTTTTTGCTTGTTGGCGACACAATCCGAAGCCGCACCATCAAATGCCAGCGACACCATCAGACGCCGACACAGAGGCAGGCGATGCAACTCAGACACAAGTATGTATTCTTGAATATTTGCTTTGTGATGTTTACACATCTGTTATGGATCTTATGTGATAAACTGATTATTGTGAATGTGATTATCATGATTTTGTCACACCCCCAAACCAGACGGCGGAAACGTCCGGGGGTGGATGACTTCATTTGTAGTATCACAACACATGCATTATAGTAATCAGAGTACAAACAACCACTGTATTTAAAAAGTATAAGTATTTACATGTGTTTCATCATGTATACTGAAACCAAATAGTTATACAAAAGAAGAAGACAAGACACAAATAGCTTCATCTTCTCAAAAGCTCGGGGAGTACCTATCTACTGGTTCCCTGAGAATACAAGTAATTTGAAAAGAGAGTATCAACATAAATTTGAGTGAGTGCATAAGTATTTATGTTTGAATGAATGTTTTCTGTTTCTTGAATATGTATACTGTTCCAGAAAATCCTATATTTTCTGCTGTATATGAAAAGTAGTTTTAATTACATAAAACTGTTATGTTTGTAAATCAATGT